CCCGGAACCAGAAGGAGAGATCAAGCGTCATGAATGGTCAGAAGAGGAACAAGAAGACATTGAAGAGCTCGAGGAGCAATGGGAAGCGCGGGACATTGAAAAGATGGTGGTTGCAGAGAGGAAAGGCGAAGTAGAACTTGATGAAGTGACGTATGATGAGAACGCAAAAGTGAAGGATCTGCAGCTGGCGTGCAAGGAGAGAAACCTACCATACACAGGGAGCAAGAAGCGTTTGTTGGCGAGATTGGTAGCATTCAAAGTTGACCTAGAGAACAAGCTACAATTGAGCATTGCCAACAAGTTGTTCAATGAGAGCCAGAGGAGACCTATGACATTGGGTCAACCGAGGTTGACATCGTTGAAGGAACAAGAGCTGCACTTCGTCACACACTGGCCATATGCACCCTGGTGTCAAGCATGCATGGCTAGCAGGGCAAAAGAATATAAGCGTTTACCGCAGGAGAAGAAAGCAGACCTGGGCAAGAACATCATCCAGATCGTTTTCTTCCATACCTATACAGGTGAGGAGAGAAGGATGGAAGAACAGAAGGCGCCAGATAAAGTACAGGAAAGACAAGACCAGTTTGTTGATCATGGCTTCAACCGAAACCAAACCCATTCACGTGGTCCCAGTACAAAGCAAAGGAACAGCAAGTCTGAAACGCATCACAGAGGAAGTAATCCGGTTCACACTGGAGAACGCATCTCGCGACGCATGCATTTTGCAGGCAGATTCTGAACGGGCCACTAGACAGATTCTACGGTCAGTTCAGCAAGTGAGGAAGGCGATGAACCTCGAGACTGAGATCAGACTGACTGGGCCAGGACAGCACGAATCCAATGGGTTGGTGGAAAGGGCAGTGCAATCAGTGCGACGCTTGGCAAACTGCCTTCGATCATTTGCAGGTGACAAAGCCAACATCAACATCCTAGGAAATTTCCACATATACCCATGGGCCTTCAGACACGCATCCTTCCTGACCAACAGATTCAGAGTATTGGGAGGAACAGGCAAAACATCCTACGAGCTAGCCGCAGGGCACAGTAACCGTGGCAAACTGGCTCTTTTCGGCGAGGGTGTGATGTTCAAGCGTGTGGTGAGGAACAAAGGCTCAGAAGGATTCATTCGTCGGTTGGCGTCAGAACAATCGTTCAATGCTCTGGAAATGGTGATAGCCAAAGGACTGCCATGGAATTACTCGCCGCAAGGTGTTCTCATGAAGCGGATCACAGTAAAGGAATCCCACAGTCGAAGCAGAGATGAACCCTGACGAACTTGAGGAGATGTCAAAGACTGTGGCAGCCGGACTGGTAAGCGCAACCAAAGACCCCAGCTACGCAATTGGCAGCGCCCCAAAACACCAGCAATCCAGACAGGTGCAGGATTGAAGAGGTCGGCAGAAGGAGTACAAGAGGATGAACCAGAGGCGAAGAAACACGACCTTGAGACATCGCCCAGGAGACAGATGATGAAAAGAGAAGGTGAACAACCCAACGAGGAGAATGAAGATAAGAATCAGAAGACTGTGGAAGAAGGAAAGGAAGAAGGAAGAGAGAAAGGCAGCAGGAAGGCAGAAAATGCTGTAGAAGGTTCACCAAGTGCAAAGACGGCAAGATTGTACCCACCTCACTATGCAGGAATAGAGTCCATAGAGGCCCACGGAGATGAAGAAGCCGGGTTGGAGTACATGCCGGAGGAGATCAACGATGAACCCATGGGTTATGGAGGAGAAGAGGACGACCCTCCAGAGGTCACAGAAGAAGAACTCATGGCCTTGCACCAAGATGGTCATCGCTTGGAAGCCCAGTTGGAACAAAGAGGATGGTTTCGACGTGCTCGATTGGTGGCAAGACAGTTTAAAGGGGGCGAACATGGAACAAACATGCGCTCCTACATCGCTCAGGATTATCCCCAAGATGATGATTCATTTGTGGACCAATTGTTTTGGCAATTTTGTCGGCATGACCCTCGACATCAAGGACGCCTTCTTAATGTCACCACAACCAAAGGATGAGAGAGCATATGTGAAGATTGGTGAGAAGATTTACAAATTGCTGACATGCTTGCCGGGACAAAGGACAGCAGCATCACAATGGTTCCAGATGATTGCCAACGGATGCAAAGAATTTGGTATGCAGCAGGATCCAATGCAGCCTACATTGTTCACGAAGCACGGTGAGATGTTGCTCACAGTCCATGTGGATGACGTGTTCATGATTGGCAAGGAGAACGTGCTACTGCAATTCGTCCACTACCTGAAGAACATGAAGGGGAGCAACAAGAAGGATGAGTCAAAGCCTCTTGAAGGAGAAGAGATCGCAAAGTATAGAAGTGTGGTCGGAAGATTGATGTATATGGCGTCTGAATGACCAGACGCTCAATTTGCCATTCAGCCATTGGCAAAGAAGATGTCAGCCCCCACAGCAGAAGCATGGAAGAAGGCATGGCACCTATGCTCATACCGTCTTACCTGTATGGCACCATCGACTTCGGAGTTCGGCTGCAAAAGAGAGAGAAGGGGAGATCAGTGCTCGACCCCGAAGAAGATGTGGAAGTGGACCCAGACGATTTCCACTTGTTGGAAGTGGTCACAGACTCAGACGATGCAGGAAGTCGAGAAGATCGAAAACCACATCCTCATTCCAGATCTACATCGACGGCAATTTGATCGAAAGTCGAGAAAGGAGTCAAAGAGCCATAGCTCTATCTTCAGGAGAGGCCGAGTTCGTCTCAGTGGTGGCAGGGTGCTCAGATGGAATGCTGATGAAGCATTTGTGGGAGGCAATGACAAAAGAAGAATGCAAGATGAGAGTGCGCTCAGACAGCTCAGCAGCAAGAGCCATGGTGCAACGCCAAGGAATAGGCCGCGTAAGACACCTCGACGCTTCGCTGCTATGGGTTCAACAAAAGGAGAAAGAGAAGGTGTTGAGCATTGTGGCGGTACCCACAGAGCTGAATTGCGCAGATGTGGGAGCAAATAATCTCACAAAGAAAAGACTCTTTGGCCTGCTATACATGATGAAGGTGATCAACTCGATTGGGGATCGAGTGGGCCACGAAGAGTTCAAGGAGATTGAGTATGAGTACCAGGTCAAGAAGGCCACAAAGAAGGTGCTGAAAGGAGGAAAAGATTGAAAAGACGCAAGAATCGGTCTACTTCTCCTGATGACGAGCATGAACACTGTTGTGGGAGAACAAGAAAGCTATGAGACTGAACCCAATGCGTACAAGCTAGAATGGTGGGCACTCATTTTGTGTGCCTTGGTTGGGGCCTTGAGCGTATTGCATAGGCTTCGGTACTATGTGATGGAGATCATCAAGTACATGCTCATTTGGATGAAGGAGAATGGCGCGATCATGGAGATCGAGAACGAAGAGATCAAGAAAGGTGTACAGCGCCAAGAAGTCCAAGTGACCCAATGGCTGGACTGCAGCCTATGGGCCAAGTACGAAGAGCAGATCCATGACATGGAGGATCAGCTCAATGACATGAGGCAGGAAATGCTGAGGGCCGAAGGTTTGATTGAGGATTTGAAAGTCGACCTTGTGTTGGCCCGTCAGCAAAGAGATGAGAACTTTCAGATGTTTCAATTGGTGGAAAAGAGAGCCATCAAGATGGAGAAAAAAAATTGAATTTCCGCAAGTGCACATATGGGCAGGTGATTCATTTCGACACCAGCTGTGCACACTGGCGAAAGGGGCAGAACATAGAGCTGTGTTCCATGTGCCGAGATGAAGGGACCATGCTAGAATCCATAGAAAAACCACAGACACGGTCATCTCAGCACGTGTGACTTGATCGCGCGCACAGGCCCAAAACTGTTTGAAAAACTGCGAGTTAGGTTTTTCAGAATTTGTTCTGCTTGTGCCGCCGAGTTGCATTGACTCTGGCAGCAGGTGGAAACCTTTCTGCCACGTGCAGTACATATACTGTGTGCCGTTGGGATGAACTCTTGTAGCCTGCCTCCCTGGACGCAAAAATTGTCGCAAGTGTGCGCCAGGCCTGTCCCAATTATTCTTTTGCACTTGTTTGACCAATGTCTTTGTCCATTGGCTGGGTTCTGCTCTGGCTCCTTTGCATTCTGATTCCAGGGTCTCTGGGAAGAGACAGATGCTCTGGTTAGCTCGTCTCCACTTGAAAGTACAAGGTTTTACAGCATGTATGCTCAATTTGATCCACGAAGGGCTCAATGCTTGAAACTTGCTGAAAGCTGCAAGAAACGGAAGCATGGTTCAGGCAGCCACCTACGCTTCCAGCGAGTCTGAATCAGACACCGGAAAATCGGAACCTGGTGGCCGTGACCAACGTAAATAGTTCTTTGAAGGTCGGTGGCCGGTGATGTGCGGAGCAGGACTACCCTCTGGGGCAACTTGTCCCAGAGATAGATGGTCTTCTAAATAGAAGCAGCCCTGCGCATGCTGTTTGAGAAGTGGCAGCTGCACTGCCTTCAGTAGTTCTTGGCAAACATGTCCCTTATTTGAATTTGAGAGCCTCTTTGCATCAATGTCAATGTCTGGGCAAACATTTACTGTAGCCAGCAGCTGCTTCTTCATACTAGTAGGTAAGTCATCCTGCTGCCTGTTGGGACTTGGCTCTCTCCAAAGTGAGAGCTTCCGTGTGAGGGCACGGCCACATCCACTGATGCTGCAATGAAAATACGAAGCAGAGTGCTGACATAGAAATGGAGTGTAGATTGTATGCAAGGAAGGGTTTGCCTATATTAGGCCTATATCCTATGTGTCGCCTGTGTGCTCAGATCAGAGCCGCTCCAGACATCATGTTGAACAAATTTGCAACAGCAAAGAGTAGACTCAAACTGGATCTGCTGGCCTTGGAATCATTAATATATATATATATACCTGAACCCTTGAGTTTTGGAGACACCTGTCGACGGGCCAGCTAGGCAGCTGCTTTTGGGGGTCTTGGTGTGTATATATATATATATATTGCTACTATAGACCTGATCGCCCAACCCCATTGTATGCAACTTTTGGCTGTCAAGCCTTCACGAGCAGTCAACTTTGGAGAAGCCATTGATTGCGTGAAATGGAGCCGGAGCACTGCCGGAATGAGCTGAATGCCTTGGTTTGCGACTTCGTAGAACGGCTGTGCTTGAAGGCCCAGGGCCCCAGGGATGTGAAGGGAGAGAGAGAGACAGAGAGAGAGCAGGGTTTGTACTGTAATTTTGTGTACTATGCCGCAAGGGCGGCCGACATTCTCACGCAGAGTTGGAGCCAGAAATTGCTTCAATTCTTGGAGAGCTTGATAAGTACATGCAGCAAAGTCTGGCCAAGTATAGCGGGCATGTGTATATATATATATATACATACGCAGTGTGTATATATATATATAACCATTGTGTGTATATATATATACAGTATATACACACACTATATATACTGTATAGAATCCTAACTTTGTTGCACAAAACATGTTCGCCTCCCTTGCACTAGTTCTTGGAGTAGGAGGCTCAGGATGCAGGTTCACAACCATTCGACTTGGATTGCTTGGTTCCAAGTCTACCTCTATTTGAAGCCTCCCTCCCTCCCTGACTGCCTTCCTTGTCGCTGAAGGCCAGCTGCGCAGCTTTGCAGCCCCCCTTGCTAGCAGAGAAGCTGCCGTTGGGGTTGTCAGTGGCAGCACCAAAGCGCACTGCAGCATCACTGCGCTGGCCACCGGGCTAAGCTTGTGGTCAACGCAAGGAGAGACATAAGAACAGTGTAAAGAGGTAGCAATTGCATTAAATCTATATATATATAACCCAAAACAATCATTTTTTGAGTTACTAATAGCAGTGGCCTCCAACCTAATAGCGATGGCCTCCAACCTAAGAACAGTGGAAACAGAGGTAGCAAACTGATGAAATGGTCGCACTTTGCGGCACATTCAAGGCTACTACGCGGCGAGCGTCCAGCCAATGCCCCATGCGATCCATCGGAGCAGGAAGAGGTCAGACCATGCTTTCTACTGCTTCCTGTTCGTCAGGCATTCGCTTTGCACACCACACCAATGTCCTTTTTTTTGTAAATCAAATCTTGCAGGCAGGCTTGGCCGTCGTTGACCTTTGTGCGCTGCTGGTCTCTGAAACAGTCCTGGTGCACTACACGCCACGTCCGAAAGGCATTACTCCGCCACCAATCCAGCAGAGTGGTGAGGAGGCCATAGATGAGAAGTGCCCCTGCAATCAATTGGCACCATTACTGTCAGTCAATTACTCATGGTCACAAACCCAACGGAAACATATTCAGTTGGATCAAATCCGCACACTCGCATGTCAACACGAAGCATAAATACATGGGTATCATATTATATAATTTTATTTATATATGACACAATATATAGATATAGTCGTCGCCGACCTCAGTCTGTCCAACATGTACACACACACATTCATTGTTAGTCATTCATCCACATAGACCTATAATCCAAAAACCAGCATCAACCTGCCTGTGTGTTTGTGCAAATGCTTTGTCAACATAAAGCCCAGAACCCCAACCCCCCAAAGGTAGAAGGTAGACCCTACAAGGTAAAAGCCTGAACCGGCTAACCCTTAAACCCACCCCACAAGTTCATGTGGATGATGCTGTGAAGTAGTGGAGGTAGTCCCAAAGGGGTTGGTGAACCCTCTAGATATACACAGAGACTGGTTTAATGGCGAGATGTTGGACCGCCTTGGACTCGTGTTCAGTGTTTTGACTCATATTCCTATGAGCATGTAGGGAAAGAATCGCAATAGTTTTCATTGCGAACCACAAAAAGATAAGATCGATTCAGCAAGAACACAAAGAGCAACATTGCACGAAAGCAAGCAAGCAAGCAAGCAAGGAAGGAAGGAAGCAAGGAAGGAAGCAAGCAAGCAATCAAGCAAGTAAGGAAGGAATTAAGGAAAGAAGGAAGGAAGCAAGGAAGGAAGGAAGCAAGCAAGGAAGCAAGCAAGCAAGGGAGCAAGCAAGCAAGCAAGGAAGGAAGGAAAGAAGGAAGGAAGAGCGAAAAAGAAAGAAAAGGACAATAACAAAGGTAGAATGACAGGAGTGAAGAGAAGAAGAGAGGAAACGGGGAAGGAGCAAGCAAACAAGACACCAAATTAAGCACCTGCATGCTAGCTTGTGGAAAGTGGAGAGGTCCTGAAATCAAGGACCAACCATGGTCGAGATCAAAACTTCATGCTTGGACTTGAAGAGTGCCTTTGTCAAGAAACACTGCCTTTCGGCTTGGAGAGCTCCACGGCATGCTCGCCCTCTCCAGGTGTTAGGCTATGACCCTATCAGCGATTGCGAGACGAAAGTGGGTAGAAACCCATGGTGCGGCGTAGAGAAGCTTGTGCACTGCAGCCAGACAGAAAGAAACCGTTGGATGCAAAAGCATTACCCCTTGCATCCCTTTGCAGCACAGATGTGCAAAGTGCTGTGCTGCAAGCCGCGCCCTCTGCACACGTGTGCTTTTTGCGCACCTGGTGATCCAGTCATCATCCACTGAACGTTCTCATATTAGGTAGCAGCAAGAAGCTACTAGCAACAAGGGCGTCGCTATCAGGAGCAAGAAGCTACTAGCAACATGGGCTCTGCTACTAGGAGCAAGAAACTGCTAGTAACAAGGGCATCGCTACTAGGAGCAAGTGCATCGCTACTAGAAGCTAGAAGCTACTAGTAACAAGGGCATCGCTACTACGAACAAGTACTTTTGTCTTTTGTTGCTTTCTTTGATTCGCTGATGATCTGATGCTTTGGACTTGTTTGACATCGTCAACGCAGCTAGCAGGGGCCCCTTCATCCTCCGACATGACCTCAAGCGTGAGAGTGTTTTTCATGACAATAACTGCGGAGGTATTGGAAAAGGCGATACAACTATTTTGCCCGCTTCGACGAAGGCATACGCATGGATCCAGGAGAGACATGAAATCTTTCATGAGGAAGCACCTTCTGAAAAGTACCACGTCGAATCAACCGAAGCATTGGCTTGCAGTTATATAATATATATAAATTATCAGTGTTCCAGTGGCTGTGCCTTTGTGTCAGCAGTGAGGAGCTTGGTTTGAGGTAACTCCTGAGAGCGTTGCGCGGCACATCGCGGATCGCTTTCAATACGACACAGTTGTTGATGGCACTTGCGGTGTTGGTGGCAATGCAATTCAGCACCTTGCAAACAATTGATGTCTTTTAGAGACACATGCAATGTGTGGGCATCATGAGGGATGGCCAGCTCAAATGAGTCTTTATCCCACATAGCGTGAGCTATTGGGGTTCTTACTTCAAGTATATGAAGAGCTGCGTGTGTGCGTTTTCAAACCTGGGTGCTGGTGCCGCTGCAGGGCGCCGCTGTTGGTTGAGTGTAGGAAGAGCTGCGTGTGTGCGTGCTCGAGCTTGGGTGCTGGTGCCGCTGCAGAGCCGCTGCTGAGTGCACTTGGGAGCTTGGGCGCTGGAGCCGCTGCAGAGCGCGCTGGGAAGCTGTGCCGCTGCGGGGATTGGGTGCTGGTGCTCCAGTGTGCCTGCTAGATGTTTGCGGACGCGTGCTTGTTTGGAGCTTGGGTGCTGGTGCTGCTGCAGGGTGTGGCTGCGGGATGCCGGTGCCAGAGATGTGTGGCCGTGTTGGCGTTGGAACTTGGATGCCGGTGCCGCTGCAAGGTGCCGCTGCCAAATCACTCCTACGCCGAATGAAAAGAACAAAGCATTTACAGTAGGTGCTACCCGCAAATATTTTGTGCTATTTGGGGGGCCTATGCTGGCATGATGAAAGTTACAGCAGTTAATGATGAACATGGTAGAACACACGCAACCAGGAGAATTGCTTCGTTGCAATTCCATTATGTATGACCATGCTTCACATACTGTTGTGGAGTCTGGTGTAACTCCTCCTAGGGTCACCTATATACTGTATATATAAAAATATGGTGACCCTGACCCTGCTGAGGTTTGCAATGACATCACGCAGTGTTGTCGCTGTGGACACTGACGCCCAGCGTTTGGCTGATGCGAGGCAATCGAACATCTGAACATCAGCTGTTCTAGATGTTCTCCAGTTGTGCATGTCCTTATGTCATTTGTGAGGCATAATGCAAGAATCTATGGTGTGGCTGATCGCATCCGCTTTGTACACGATGACTTCGTGAAATTTGCTGACAACTACACTGGAGCTCCTGTAGATGCGGTGTTCTTATCACCTCCATGGGGTGGGCCCGGACATTTGGATTGCCCACATTTCTCCTTGAGGGATGTGCAGGCGAGGCAGCTACAAACGAACAAACATACATTCGGACATTGTCATCTATCACAACTTGCTTGTATTTCACTTCAATCAACACTTCTCAGGTCGGTGGGTATCCCGGGGACCTAGCACATGTTAGGACATAGACTTGAACAACTCGCCCAAGCTTAATTATCTTAATTGTGAACCGAGTCCATTATAAACAACTATTTTGCATGATGAGGGCGAAAAAGATCAACTCTTCTCTGTCTGCAAAACCTTAGCATAGAAATGACCTGCTGGTGTCGTCAGCTCATCAGGTCCCAGATATTATGCAGCTGTTTGCTGCTGCTGCTAAGCTGTGTCCTCGAGTAGCTCTTTATTTGCCCAGGCCGCCCTTTCTCTGTTTGCGTAATTTCAATAAAACAAAGGCTCAACCTTGATTGGTCTATTTGGAAAAAGCATGCTCAACTTTGACTGGTCTATTTCATGATGCATCATGTGTTTGTGAGATTTCTATATAGATAACCTCTTTAGATGTGCAATTTATCCCCTCTTTGATGTACCCATTCAGCTCCAGAAGGCATACTGATTTGCACGAAGTAGCCATCCTGGCTGCTCAGCATGGTTTCCCTGCTGTGGAGGTGGAGAAGGCTCGTTTCGATTATTTTGCAACGTTGATGCTTTTGATATGTTGTCCATGCCTTTGAACACCTACTCACAGAGAACGGAATGCTTCCTGCGAGGGTTTGCCAAGCGCAACGAGGTCTTCTTCCAACATCCAACTCCCCACCTGAAGCTGGTGGTAGTCTACTTCTCCAGTGATGTTGCGCAGCAAGGCCAGAAGCTTTCACGAGGAATCACATGTAGTGACATTAGAATTGTTGACCAGTGTCCTGTGATGTTTCTCGTTTGTTGACCAGGCATTCCCAAGAGCATCACACAGAAGTCTGTGGGGCCACTGACTGGGCCTGTTGTGAACAAGAATGCTGCTCCTTAGAGCTTTTGGAACGGTTCAAAACCTTTGGACTGAGGCGCGATCGGGCCCAGCGCTTGATGCAGTCGAAAGCATCAGGCGGAGATTTTTGTGGAAGTCCGACTTCAACGTGACACTAGCTCTGTGCAGTCCCAGAACTGCTGAGTGCAAGCGCGGCGGGAGTGCTTTTGCGTGCAGTCTACTGTGGCAACCTCAGATGAACGGTATTCCATTGTAGCTGCAGACGGATCTTCGCCTGGTCATGGTGAAAACGCAGAAGGAATGAGAGAGAGAGGGAAACAATTCATGGGTAGACAAGTAGACAATAACAGCAATAATTCGGTCACAACCGTTGCATCTGCAGAAAGTTTGAGTTCGCAGCATTGATCAGTTTCTTCAGGCCGGAGCTACCTTGGAAGATTTGTAGTCAGCCTCGCTGCCTGACTGTACACAAGTGAGGGTTTGCTTGGGCACCAACCCAAAGCAACGGCAATGTGAGAAGGCTTTCGTCGGTTGAAATTAGGCGACGCTTTCAGCAACTCATCAGCATGAGCTCCAGTGTTGACAATCTAGGAACCAAATGAAGAGCGTGAGCTATCCTGCGTCCAGTTACTAGGAGTGTGGGCCCCCTTACTCAATTAAGTAGGCCCCTAAGTAGAAGGAGGGCAGGGCGGGCTAAAAAGAAAAATAGGACAAACAACAGACAGGAAAAGAAAGAACACTAGAAAACAAGCATTTGGCAAGCTTCCAAGGCGCTGCGGTTGGAAGAAGGCGAAAGTGTCACAGGCAAGACATGAGTTTACTTGACTGGATCACTTCCACAATGGAACTTGACTGTTGCAGGTAGAACTTGCAAAGCACCACACCGAGGCCATGGGATCATGGATGGGGTTGTATGGAGGGAGGATACGACCTTGCTAGCAGGACAGGGCCAGCCCAGACAGCGACTACGGCTTGGGATCTTGGACAAAGCTATGTAAACTTCCGTCACTCCAACTTCATCTGAGGTCTGGCGGGAAGGGATCGTGCAGCAACCCTGCCTGAAGCTTATGCAGTGCTGGCTCTATCCTTGACGTTTGGAAGAGCATTTTGCGAATCAGTGAGGTGGAGATCCAACGTGCGACGGCTCAGAATCTTTGTGAGGCTGGATCAATCTGCGAAGCCAGCAGACATATGAGAACTGATCTCAGGAGCTTAAGAATTGAGGAGATAAAGGACAATCATGCAGTCAGAAGCAGCCTGTACTCCAATGCTTTTCATGCAGCAAGAGACCATGCTCCTTGCCAGGCTTTTGGAACTACGGCTGTTGAAAGTTCGCCCGCTGCAGATTTAGCTTGGGGAGAGTATGACTCTCTTGCATCATAAGACATCCCGTGCAACAAACCAGGATATGGCTTAGTTCATGTCGAATCAGTACGGCAATAGTGAAGATATTAAATCAATCAATTAACGAGATGAAAGGTCGTGGAGAGCCTTGGCTTGATATCCCGGAGCGGCCAGGCGATGCACTGGTCTCTGCGCGGGAGCTACTTGCCGAGGCAGTGGGAGCAGAGTGATATATTACGAAAGCTGCTCGTAACAATTGATAAGATAAGATATATGCGCACTGTAGAAACTGGAAACGCACGAAGTTCTCCAGCAATTGGTGGATCGATGAACGAACCGAAGTCAAGAGGGGCGACCGAACGAAGGGCCGCCGCACCGCGCCTTTTCTGGCAAGCTGAGCCCGCCCTCTGCGGACGGATCATGTCGTTTCATGAAACAAAGTGATGTACAGCGTACATCTTCACATGGAGGGAGAACTGTACTGCTCAAAAGCTCTGTACCAATGGTGCACATCGTGTCTGATGCACCAACCCTGTGGGTACAGCATTCGGTCAGGTGGTGGGTTCACTCCAGCGCAGTACGGGCATCGTCGCATGACGAGCAAATTCTTTTCGGTGATCTGCTCCGTCAGGTGGCATGACTGCAAATGCCAGCACTCGCCTCGCTTCGAGGCATAGATCTCTCGGGTGAAGGGGCATCGTGCAGCGTGGTCTTCCATCTCCGCTTCAAGGTTGCGGAACAGATCTCGGGCAGCCAAGCACAGGTTGCGCAAAGCATCCAGTTCCTCTTCTTGGAGTGCCAGTGCGGCACGGGCTTCTTGTGCAGCTTTCTTCGACTCTTCAACCTGACGTAGGCTGTGGTCGTGATCTGCCTGAAGCTTGGTGTTCAGCTGCCTCAGTCTTTGTGGGACTACAGCTTCGTCCTTCTGGGTGGAGACATCATGTCGTGCCGGTGGAAAAAGGGACTTGGTGCAACGGCCCAAAATGAACATGCCAAGGAGTGCCATGACGTGAACAGCAGCTAAAACCAAAATCCAGAACCATAGGCTGTCTTGTTCTTCTGGTGCTTCGGTTGTGGAACATGTGTTGGTTTCACCAGTTGCTGCAACCATCATTGACCACCAAACCAACCATTTGAGGACATACTTCATGCGACCCGTGTCCATGGCATGCTTGCGGTGAGCGACGTGGCTGGCTAGGAACACATACGTGGGAGCGGGGTTGTTCTGTGCAAAGTGGACATACTCACAAAGCTCCATGTTCTCAGTTTCGCCAGAGTCCTCAAGGGCGTCAAAGAACTCCTGAGTGTTCTTGGTGTCAGGGGGCAACTCATTCTCAATCATGTGTTCATTCTGAGTGGGCTTGTCAAAGTCCGGGGGGTCCTCTGGCTTGTAGTGCTCGGTGGACTCAGCAATGGCCTTGTGGCGCTCTGCTTTGGTCTTGCGCTTGGCCGCGGTGTACGACGGATCCCATGTCAACTTGATCCTACCATGTCGTAGCCGGGCTGCCAGCAATGCGCGAGCACTTTCCTTGGTGAACCCGTCACCAAGCTGTCTCTCTGAGGAGACCCACCGAAGGGACCCACCAATGTCCTGCATTCTCTCCTTCATCACACGGATCTCGAGGCTGATCCTCTTGTCGATCACAGATGAGCTGATGCCCTCACGATGGTACGAGTCGTAGAGAGCTTTTGCGTCAGTGATCAGCTGTGGGGTCAACTGAGACTTGACCTTCAGTAGATCTTGGAGAGGTAGAGCAGGATGAAGCAGGTGCTCCCAGAAGCGACATGCGAACTCAGTGGCGTCCGCCGCTTGGCCTCCAGCTTGGGCTTCTGCTCCTAAGGAACTTCGAGCCACTCTGGGTGTCCGGAAGCTGCGCCAGTCGAGAATGTGATACTGGCCTTCCTCGGAGGATGTCAGCAGGGCCTTGTTCACCAACATGATCACATAGCCACCTTGGGAATTGCCATCCGGCCTTGAACCAAAGCCAGCATCGAAGAACGTGATCATCTGAAGCTGTTGCGGCTCACCGATGTGGTTGTAGATGAGCCCGACATCCTTGTTCTCTTTGCAGAACTTCAGTAAGCGGTTGCACTCATGAAGTGTGTGCATGCACCGTTGCTTTGTTGACCTGGCTGGATAGCATGGAGGTGGAACACTGCAAGTGCGGTGACGTTTGCACTGCCGGCCATTGAACTGAACCAAGTAGGCCACGGACCTGAGTGATCTCTCGCTCATTGAGCGCCTCAGTCAAGGCTCTGCCTTTATTGAAGGCGATGGGGCTGACTTTCCCCATGTAGGCCTCTTGATGAAGCCGGCGGCCGTCTTTGTCGGTCTTTGTGAGCTCGCACCCACAGTATTCGAGCTTGTCGAGGTCCTGTTTCCACTCCCGGAAGGAGAAGGTGTCTTTGAGGGTGCGAACGACCTCTTGGTACCGAGGAGAGTCCAAGCAGCCACTGCCCAACATGTCGTCCACGTGCATGATGATCACGCCGACCAACCGCTCATCGCCCAGGCTCTGAACAGTTTGATGCACAGGATCTTGGGCGTCATAGTTTGGGCTGTCAGTCTCGAAGGCCAGGAAGCAGCATGGGTCCAGTGGATGCTGTCGGAGTCCAGCACGTAGCAGCCTGTCAACTGCTTCCAAGAACCAGCCGCGAGGTGCGTCTATCTGACCATAGCAGGGTTTGAGCAGCAACATTCTTGTGTCTTCGTCGGCGCCGAGGAGCTGAAGACATTCCGTTGGCAGTTTGACCCATAGCTTTCGGCTTTGTGGCCGACCCTGGAGGAAGGCCGTAGAGACGTCGGCCGTCCATGTTGACCAACCCATGTTGGCTGCCAGGGACAGAATGTAGCTTCGACTCAACCTGGTGGTTGTCGGCGATGAGGTGACGATCTGGCCTGCCAAGGCATCAGGGTCGTTATAGCCTCTGACTATCAATCGGGCCTTCGCCCTTGGTGAGCCGTCAGGATTCTTGGACCATTTCAGGATCATCCTCGCTGTCAGGGTGCGAGTCTCATCGGCGTCATTCTTGTGTTGGAAGGTCCAGACGCCATGGTCGAAGAAGGACTTGAGCTCCTTGACTTTTGCCTCCTTGAACAATGCCCTTTCATGAGGTCCCAAGGCCCGTTCATTGACTCCGTTCTTGTCTTTCTTGAACTTCTTGGCCTTGATCATCTTCTGGCTCTTGGCTTCCTGCTTAGCGCTGGTGTAGATGGTGTGCTGTCCAGAGTACATAGCCATCTCCTTGCGCAAGGAGCCATCGATCTGGAAGATCGTGCAGCCAGTCCATGAGGATGTGGTGTCAGGAGGTGGTGAGGTCTCAGTGCCATCATCAGTATGAAGTCGGCTCTTGCCGTCAGCTGTGTGGACTAGGATCACTTTGACCTTGTCTAGACGATCTGCTGGGATCGGGCAATCCTTTGGCAGGTGGTCCAAGTGCGTGCGGCCACGTCGAGGGACAAGGTGGTGCCTGATCAGGCAGGTTGAACCTCAGAAGAAGAAAAACATTCCTAGCAAACGACCCATCTCATTTCTTTCTGATCCTGGAAGCGCTGCCCCAGCTTTTGTCCACATTTTCCAAGGTTAGCGATTTACTTCGCCAACCAGCTGTTGGGCGGAAGCATTCTGTTTCCTTATTGGGGAAGCCAGTTTGCGGATCGGCTTTTTGCAAGCTTGTTGGGATTGGACACGGAAGATTTCAGAAGCTCAGGAAATCGGCATTGCAGGATGTTCCTGAGATCCCAGTTGATGGGAGGTTTGTCAGTAGGGCCGGACAGAAGTGGTCTGAGAACAAGACATTGGTCCACGAGTTCCTAGAAGAAATCTACCATACATTGAGCGAGCCTGCCCCAGAAGCCTCAGAGTCTCTGAGTTCTCATCCCAGTGCACTACGCTTTAGGAAGCGCAGGGGGAGGGCTCCCAAGCTTGCTTTGCTGCAGAGGAAACTCAAAGCCAAGAAAAAGGCAGATGGCAAGGCGCCTCAGACCCAGATGCGGTTACTACCGCCTGGAACGTTCACTGACTACCTGGCGTTACTGCAAGCCCGCCATCCTCATCGCAAGATCTCCTTGAAACGATTTTCTTCAGAATCTGGCTTGTTTTAAGCAAGTTGTGGCCACTGCTGCTACCAAAGACAGGCGTTTTGTGTAATAATAGTGTGTCTCTGTTATATACTTTATATGCGTATTAATACACGTATTACAACTCACATGGGACACATAATAAGTCAGGCTCAAGTCGAATCAGACCTTTGCCCGCAGCAAAGGTCTGGACAGAGAGCTTCAGTGGCAAGCTCGCATTGAGACCACGTTCGGCGCACAAAGAGTGTGGAATTTGCGTTCGCCACAAGTGCATACTTCGCCGGCTGGGCAATGATAGAAACAGCCGTCAAAGCCAAATGGCTGCTTACACCGAACATCTTCGACGTCAGTTTGCTGACCGCTCACTCTACTGGTCAGCAAGGTCTTGCAGCCGGCTGAAACAGCTGCTGCCAAATGGCTGTCAGACCATCGCCATCATTGGCGATGGTATTGACCATAGCAAGTTTCGATTTCCAAGATCGGAATGTTTCCAGGCCAAGGACCTGGACGCCTTCGTTCGTCCATGTATGGACATGACAGCATTGATATGCCACGGTCACGGAGTATTTTGTTTCCCAACAATTGTTCCAGTCGCCAAAGATTCAAATTTGATGGCCGATCTTTTGAGCTTCGTTTTGCACCGCGTCATTGAATCTGGCCGTGTGGACGGCCGGTGTGTAGAGCTCCTTCTGCAAACTGACAACACCACCAGGGAGTGGAAAAACAATTGCCTGACCCGTCTGCTGGCCCTCTACGTATCCTCGCACCGCCTAAGGCGGGGCGAGTTGAAGTGCCTCATGACGGGACATTCTCATGAGGACGTGGACCAATACTTTTCCATTTTAAGCAATCACATACAAACTTACAAGGAGCTCCACACACCAAACCACTTCAAGCGTTGCCTCGAAGAGTTTCACAATGATGGCACTGTTCGGCCAAATGAGCCTTTGAGAGAAGTGCATTTGGTGTCCTGCGCCCGAAGCTGGATGCTGGCCTCCATGAGTGTAAGTTGAAGTTTTGACAACCCATTGAATTGTGTAGTGGGCTTTCGACTTTGGTTTAATGGTTTCAACTTTATACTCAAAGCCTTTGGCCCAATGATGCCCGTTGTGAGGAAAACATGGTTGCACA